TTGACAATTCAAAAGCGTATTTTACTCTCATTTTCTTTTTTCTTTTTTTCCTTTCTTTTCGGCACTCGTTCCTTCTTTTTTCTTTTTTTTTTTTTCTATTTTTTTAACTATCGTTTTTCGCCCTCTCTCTCTCTCTCTCTCGTATTATTTTCGTATTTGTATTTTCTCTGTTGCGTTACGTACCTAAGCGAGGATCACGGACAAGCCGTGAAGCACCGAGTCTCTGTCTCGGCGCTGGACCAACCGTCTGGCCTGTGTCTAACCGTTTGCAAAAAATCCGGCCCAGTGTCTCATGGACGTACTGAGGTTGCTGGATTTGTTGATAGCGGCGGCAGTGGTGTTGCTGCTATTGCCGTGTCGAACCGGTAACATAATTGTGCGCGCTCTGATGGAACGACTTGAAGAGAGTTCCGAAATTGGACGGGAAGGGAATCCACCAGCATACAATGCCGCCGCACACACAGCTAACTATATTACAACTATGAAAGCACTCTTTAGCGCGCGCGCGCGCGCGCAAGTACGCATATAAATGGATGGAGATAACACATACAAACGAGCCACACGCACTCACACACACACACGCACACGCACACACACACACCTCGCTGGTTTCCCTTGCTTTTTCTTTTCTTTTCTTTTCTTTTCTTTTCTCTTTCCTTCCCTTTTTATCTTTCCTCCTCTTGTACGAGTTATTATCGTATTTGTTTTTTCCGCGTGTCCTCGGCTCTGTCAAAAGTACAGCAGCAACACAAAGATCTACTACTGTGTATTATTTCGCGTGTCACATGACACACTCGTGCATCGCGACACGACTGGCGTCGTCCATCGCGTATCAGAGGCAAAAACTGACTGTGAGAGAGATCCGTTCGACTCTCTGGCTTCTCCTCGTGGTAACCATCGTCTCGAAAAGCCGGCAACGTTGCCAGCTTCGGGAAGTGCGCCGACGCAAAACCTACCTCGCCACTCTGCACCGTGCACAACGAACCGCCCTGTGTGAGGGGGGAACCCGATCACACAGCCAGACACCACAGCCCTCTAGCCCGATTTCTGGCCCATTGTCCCCGGCATCCTCGCTATCCACGCCAGGACTAATTCTTTCTATCTGCTCTCAGCTATCCATCTTGATGACTCGTACACACACACACAGTCGTATTAATATTAGATATTAATATTAGCGTGTTTTCTGCCATGTCGTTCTGCTACGGTTTAGTTAATTACTGCTCTCGCGCTCGTTAATTAACTCACCTTTTATCTGCCATCTTTCTGCCCTGATAAGTAACGACTCGTCACTCGGTCAGCTCGTTTGCTCGAACGAACATTTCGAATTTTTCTTCTCGAAAAATAAATATTTCGTGTAAGACGCGATCAGGGATTACCTTTGTTTCTTCGTCGCATTCGTTTGCAGTTTCGGCTTGTTATTATTCGAAGAATATCCGACATTCCGGTTGAAACTCGTTGAGAAACCGCGACTGACGTTCACTTCCGGGAAGCGTAGAAATTAACGAATATTGCAAGTAGACCGTGGAACGAAACGCTTATTTTTCTTGATTGAAGACAATCCTTATTTTTTTTTTTGTTTCTTTTCTTTCTTCCTATGCAGCATTATGCGATTCGTGCTATTAGTTTCACCTGAAATCTTAGGAACATCGTTCTGTTTATCGTATGGTAGCGATCTGACGCGTACGCTTGCGATCGCAGTTTTTTACTCACAGTGCAAGAACGTACGATGTAATTGCAACGAGTAATAATTTTTCACTCGGTTAGAAAGAGCATTCGAAAGAGCACGTCGTTGTGTACCATTAATTACTGTGACAAAGTATTCTAACGACAGAAAAAAAAAAA